CACGAGATGTAAGTCTGGAGTCGGCATGTCTTCTTTCACTTTGCACACCTTTTTGGCTTTCTTAACCGCCTGGACAATCCTTTCTGCCAGGGGAGTTTCTTTGAGATCTTGAACGTGGGTGCGAAAGGCGTCCCACTTGATAAAACATACTTTTTTCTTTGGTGCGACACTAAGTTGAAGCGTAATTTTGATGGGCAAATGATCACTACCCATGGCATCTGGTAGCACACACCAGCTCGCTCTAAGTTGTCTCGAAGTCCACGTGAGGTCGGGAGTAGTGTCCGTTTGATTGTTAGATTGTGCGAGCCTCGTTGTGATGCTTTTTTCGTTGCGGAGAACGAGCCCCTTTCTTTCACAGGCACGCTTAATGACCTTGCCTCTGTTGTCTCTAGAGTTGTAGCCCCATTCTGTGTGCTTGGCGTTGAAATCTCCCGCCAGTATAGTTGGGGTTCGGCTGTCTATAAGTCTTCGTATCCATGCATCGTCTAGCTCTCTGGCGCCTGGACGAATGTAGGCATTAAAAACATCGACGGTCGTGTCTCCCCATCGAATTCGAGTGCCAACCACCTCACGATGTTCACTGCATTCATTTTTGGTATCGATCTGAGTTTGCGGTAGGGATTTTTTAACGAGGGTGACTGTTAGTCCGTAGTTACCATTTTTTCTGACGATTATTGGCTGGAGAAAAGCATTGTACCCTTGAATCTTGAGGTTCTTGACGTTCGCCTTTTGGAGGAGGATAACATCGGGAGCCTTGTCTTTCAGTTTTTCGAGTCTGAGCTTAAGCTCCGAAAGTTTTTGTTGGAGACCCCTGCAATTCCACTGGAGGACCCATACGTTGGTTATTTTCTTTCTTTGGCGTGGCGGTTTGGGTCTGGACGCTGAGGCGCTACTTGCCATGCTGTTTGCTGATGAGTGCGTAGACGAGGTCGCATAGCTTGTCAACCTTGCTTTCGAGGGATCCGACTTTCCCTTCAAGCGTGTCAATTCTGCCATGGGTGGCTTGTACTTCTGCAATCCATCCCAAGGGAGACGACGTGGCCGAGCTGGTGTTGCTTCCTCCGCTCTGATGCAGAGGGTAGTTCCACGCATTGGAGCTAAGGGGCTGCATGGCTAATGGCAGAGTCGGAAAATTCTTAAAGGATTGCAGAAACTCCGGCGACGGTGTTTGTTGGGACGAGTTTGTTGTTGCGTGACCACTCGCGTAGGAGCTGTTGCTCTGCAATTTCTTGTGTGGAGGTGGAGGTTTCACTTTCTTGGGTGGGATCGTGCGTTTGGGGCAATCATTGCTCGTGGCAACATGTGTCCCTCCACAGTTGACACATTTGGGTTGCAGCTTACAGTTCTCGGACACGTCGTGCTCGTGTCCGCAACTGCTGCAGCGCTTGATATCTATAGGACAGACGTCGGCTTTGTGTCCAAGGAGGTGACAGTTATAGCACACCAAGGGCCTAGGTCTGTAGGAGGTTACCCTAAAGGCCTCGCAGGCGTATCGGACGTAGTTTGGTAGGGACCGGCCTTCAAAGGTAATGAGGACCGTTCTTCCTGACCGGCCGATGATTCTGGCCGAGGAGATCTGGTGGGTTTTGCACTCCAGTTCTTTTGTTAGCGAATCAGGAGTCTCGTCGTTGTCGTATCCTCGCCGATAAATGACTCCCTTGATTTGCGAGCTTGAGGTTGCCACGTATGGCTTCATTTCAAGCGCTTTTCCTTTGAGGTCGATTTTGCCTATTTTCATGAGCTTGTCGATGGCTTCACGGTTCTTCGTGGTGATAGCGATGGTGTTTGAACGTTCATTCGTGTGAACTGAGCACTCCTTGTCGCTTACGCCGGTCTTGGTAATGCATCGCGGATGTTCTTGTTCGCAATGTTGTAAACGTCTTCGCGACACACGGGCTTCAGGACGACCGTGTGCGTGGGTGTCTGTGACGTGGATTTATCGGACCGGTTGCGTCGGCGACGTCTCGTGTATTGCTGCCACGTGCCATCTTGGTTGTCTTGTTCCATGGGGGCCGCAATACCATCGCCACCGGCGAGATTTTGTGTGCCCTGGCTCGAAGCTTCGATGCCAGGAGTCAAATGTTGTGACTCGGTGTTGTCGCTGGAGATTTGGTTCATGTAGTTGAAGAACGCGTTTTTGTTCTGCAAGAACATTGCAATGTCTTTTTCGTGCTCTTCATAAGCGGTGTACTTCTTTTTTTTTCAGCTCTATGCGAGCGTATTCTTCTTTTTTTTCTCTAAATGCCTGGAACTCTGCCTAGTCCTCGTCGGAAATAACAAGTCCTACTTTCTTTGAGGCGGAAGCTTCCTCCTCCGTTCTTGAATATGGGCTTGCGAGCGCCAAGTTTCTTTTTGCGGGTCGAATCTTCCCCGCGGCTTGAGAATCCTGTGTAGTGGCTGGGAGGGCCTGAAGGTCCTCTTCGATGCCGTTGACTTCCAGGGATAGATGGGGGGTCGGGTTCAGGGTTGCTAACGGATCGTCGGGTCCCGAAATCGGGATCCGGCGGTGAGCTTGTTGGCTGTGAACCTAACGTTCGATGGGCCTTCTTTTTTCCTCTTCTCTAGAGCGGATGCTCAGAACGAGCCCACATTAATAGGCTGCTAAGACCGGCACTCTTGAGGGTGCGAAATGCACGTTACAAAAGAACTGTGGAAGCTCGCCATCAGCACGCGCTCAGCAGTCGCGCACACAGCTATGGCCGCCAGTGAATACTTCTTATAGTATTGAATTCGTATATGAGGTATGACTCTCGCTGTTCGCGCTCCCGGTTTGATCTAAATCCAGATTCCAGTAATTTCACAGATAATTTATCGAAAGAATGCTCTGGGAGACGGAGGTGTTATAAAAGAGGGAGGCCTGGATTAGTTTTAGAGTGAGATCTGTGGTTGTTAAAGCGTAGTCTAAACGGTGTATCGGTCTGTCCTACGTATTGCATTTTGCATACTCTACACTCTAGCAAGTACACTACGTTTGAAGAGTTGCATGTCAGTTCCCCTTTCATTTTCATTGAGTACTGCGAATGCGTGCTTTTGGCTGTGTCTGTTTGTTGAATTTGTAGGCATATTAAACACTGCGGTGTATTAAAGGGCCTGCATTAGTTGCGTCGCGGTGTAGGAAACGCGACGCCGCGCGTTTCCTCGGTGTCGAGGAAACGCGCGGCGCCCCAGGGGTGACCGTCGCGGGGATGCATTGGCTCGTTAAGGACTATCAGCCAAGAAGACGTCGCCCGTTCACGGCCTATTGTAGCCACCGTTGTGAGCGCTCAAGCGCACTTTGTATTACGCCGCCCCGCAGGAGGAGTGGGCTCAGGTCATGTTGTTTGCCATCTGGAAACGCGTACACCCCCCCCCCCCCCTTTTCTTTTTCTCTCTTATTTTCTTTTTTTTCCCCTAGTTTTCAACTTTTTTTGCCGCAGCGATATGGCCTCACTTGTATGTCATCTCCAGATGAAGCCGAGTCTCTCGGCGAAACTGTCGATGAAACTTCCGCTGTTTGTTGTTCTTCACCGTGAGTTTTTCACTTCGTTATATATACGCCTTCGGCCCCTTGGCTCTTATGCCACCATGCAGGCACGTAGCGAGGGGGGTGGCCCATGGGGCCGGGAGAGCGCCTTTAGAGCGCACGACAGTAGAGCGCCGACGTTGAGCACGACACTGAGTGCCCCCCAAAATCTTTCATTTTGCTGGGGACTCCTCTCCCCCCTCCCCCTCATACAACAATTTGTCATAGGCGGGCCCCCCCGGAAAGGAAATCCCGGCTACGTGCCTGCCACCCATGCCCACTATGTATATATATATATATATATATATATATATATATATATATATATATATATATATATATATATATATATATACACACAACACGGGCACACGTGGTCTCCGAGGAGGATATAAACGAATATGTGCAGATGAATGAACCGTACTTAATCCAATGAATCAAAGAATCAAAGTTTTCAGGAACCCGCCGAAAGCCAAAAAACGGCGGAGCCAGGATTTGAACTCTGGGCCTCCCAATGTCCGGTCGGGTGTGCTAACCTCTACACTACTCCACCTTAGCTTTCTGGCGTTTCCTACCTGTCTTATTAATGCACAAGAAACGAAATGTGTCCAATCGGAGGTGTTCTGGAAACACACGCCACCGCGTGGAACGCGGTACGACGCTTAGTGTCACGTGGTACGTGCTCGTTTGTGCTCCAGAAATCCTCCCACTGTTTGTCTCGCCCCGTGTACATGCAGTATTCTTTGTTTATGAGCTTTTAGAGACACGGTATCATCATCATCTGCAAGAATCAAGAGCCACGTTATTGAATATACAACACGGGCACTTCACGTCATCGTACGTGGTCTCCGAGGAGGATATGAACGAATATGTGCAGATCAATGAACCGTACTTAATCCAATGAATCAAAGAATCAAAGTTTCAGGAACCCGCCGAAAGCCAAAAAACGGCGGAGCCAGGATTTGAACTCTGGGCCTCCCAATGTCCGGTCGGGTGTGCTAACCTCTACATTGGGAGGCCCAGAGTTCAAATCCTGGCTCCGCCGTTTTTTGGCTTTCGGCGGGTTCCTGAAAACTTTGATTCTTTGATCCATTGGATTAAGTACGGTTCATTCATCTGCACATATTCGTTTATATATATATATATATATATATATAGAGGGTACCTAGATGTCTCTTGAAAGTGAATTAGTAAAGGCTACAAGCCCGAGCTGAGTCACATTGCTCTGCGTGCACTTCAAAAGTGAACAAGGAAGAAAATAGGAAGAGAAACGAATGGGCAAAGAAAAGGTCGAGGTACCACCACTCAATCAAAAGCGCGTGTTTGTATGAAGGCGCTCTCTATATAAGCGTTTGCGGCGTTTACCTTTTCACGGTAGCCTTTTCTATCCCTTCCTTGTACATCGTTCCTTGTTCGACTTTTCGCAATATATGTCTCGAATGTATATTGTATATATTGTATAAGCTGCCGAAGTCACTATTGGTATTTCTTCAGGCAGCGGCGACGCCTTCAAAGAACGATGAAGTTGACGTTACAGTGGGATCTTGTGATGGCGGATCCTGCAAACCTGGCTCCAAGCATATTACTGTGTCGCTATGTAAGTAAGAAATATTGTGATATCTATATACAATAAATTAAACTCCCCTCTTCATTAATAGGTGTTGTAATGAGCGATAATGTTAAACCAATTTTGTTTTAAAATATAAACAAGTGTATTATTATGATCTAAACTCTGAGACAAGGAGAAATATAATAACGGACGAGGTTAAAGTACTGCTCGTTCGTTGGCGGCAGTGTGCGTCGCGACCGCTTGCGCCATCTCTTGTCTTCCGTGCGAAACGGCGCCGTATTGTTTAAAGACCTTTGGCTTCGAATTTCCATAGGAGCTAAGCCTTTTTCTTTCCTTACATTTTCCTCAGGTAAGTTCGCTCTTCGCAAATTTTAGAAAAAAAAATGCACCATCTGTGGGCAACGCTGCATAAAGTCGTAGCGCGATAGGTTGAGAAACCGAATTTTGCGCTCGATTTAAAGTGGCTGGCCACTCCTTGATGCCCCCAGTATATAGGTGCTAGGAGAATACTTGCAGTAGCAGATTCAGTGTTCAAATGGACAAGGAAGATATCGCAGCCTCAGTTTTAAAGTGTTTTTATTGCTTTGAAAACCTATCACGCCGCTCAATGTTTTACAGAATTGTTTTACGCTTATTGCTCTGTCTACCTATAAACTTGCGAAACCGAAACTAAGCTTCCGCTTTATTGCTTTCTCGGCTTCAGAACAGAAAAGGAACGCAAGTAGTGACCTGTCGGTTTCGATAGCTTTTAGCAGTCGCTGAACGCGGTTGACTTGGTTAGCTATTACCGCCGAGACCATTTGGTGGCGCCTGCTTGTGGCTCCTGCCCATCAGAATAGACCGTTTTCGAAATTCAGTGCAATCTGGTAGCTCAAATAGCGTTTAATCTTTTTTTATACTAATGGCGGTAATCAACCCGCAGACTGTAATACTTTGCCGGGCACCATCACTTTCAACGGCAGACAAAAATGCGGTCTTTACCGTGCAATCAGTTCTGGATCTCTCAGTTTTGATGGTATACAAGCGGCAGGAACGAAGCATCTACTCATATTGACACCGCTAAAAACATACACATCAAGGGGCTTTGAAGCTGATTATGTGCCACCAACAGATTGACTGCATCCCAGCTAGAATGAACTCTTACGCAACTCTTCCTGCGTCGCATCGTACTCACATCTCGAATGTATAGACCTTTGCAAAAAACGGCTTCTGCGCGCTGCCATTTTTGTCTTCTGGGCTGTGGAACGCCTTCTGAGAATGCGCTATTGATCTGCTGTGGGGTTTATTGGTTGCTGCACATGCTTCCATAGCTCAGTGACTCAACATTTTTTGCCCGGGTGATAAGCGATGCAATTGTTCCATAGGCCTCGCATCATCCGCTTCGGAGGATCTTCAACTTCTTCCACTATGAGCCACAAGGTCGCAATTAGTACGACACATATGACATTCTTCAGACGATGATGGTAATCAAAATGACTAGACGATTTCAGAAAGGGTCTATTTTCAGTTGCGAACAAGTTTGATAGCCTTTGAAAAAAACTAGGTAAAGGCTTGTAGTTGTCGCATTCTTAAACACATACCGTAATAGTAGACAGACTGACATCACTCGTTTCTATCGATCGATGTTTAACACAATCAACTTATAACGCACTTACTTGTAACGGTCTTATAGCCGGAATTAGAAATGAGCAGATGACGTCTGGAAAGGCGATCGCACGTTTTCACATGATGATATGCCATTTTGTTTTAAAATTGTGGGAATGTTCTTTAAAGTCGGGAGTGCTACTTTCCTCAGAAAGTAGAAAAAAAAAATATTTTAAGTAAAGCACAAGTAAACATTCAGTGTCAAACACGAGCGTTCAATGACGACATTGGTCTAGAGCGTTGGATAATGACGACATAGAATACGCTCTTTTCGAAATTCAGTCTGGCTACCTGTTACTATCATCACCTAACTGAATATTATCTGTACATGCTAATGGCTGCCTTTTGATAGTTGACGAAGGATGGATTCGAATACAAGCACCGATGCGCAGCCCGAACATTCCCGATGTTGATACACTACAGGGTTTTATGGCAGCGTGACAAGACTTCTAAGCTTCTGTGCGTTTTGCATTTGAAATCCTTGAAATGTTCGGCTTCGGCATGATTATCGACATATGGGCACAAAACTACTGTCATTGTGAATATACTGTCCTGTCATTCGATGTTAAACACTCAATCACATATGTAAATGAGATTTCGTGTTTATTTAAAGCTTTGACTCCTGTTTTCAAAAGGTCAGTGCAAAACTGATTGCATTTGGAGACGTTCCATTTGTTTCTCACCGAAGAAACACAGCTAAATCAACCGCCGGCGCCGACTACCATGGCATTGTGTGTGTTTACATCGCATGATTTCTTTCCACCAATTGTATTCCTCCTTCTAAGCGTTCCCTAGTTCGCTCCGTCTGTCCCTTTATTCCCTGCGCAAATCCAGCGTTCAGCTTGAGACGCGTCTGTAAACCCGAATAAATCTTCGTGCAACCGGAATTTAAACCCGTGCTTAGCCGAGCTAGGTTTAGGATGCTGAGCCGACTTAGGAAAGAGCCGTTTTGGGTTAAGGTAAGCAACGTTGGTGCAACCGGTCCTTAGTCCAGCACACATAATCCACAAATGACCTTCGGAACGCTTTTCTAATTCTCGACGAAGAGTAGCTTCCCACGTGAACTCTCAAGATCAGGGGATGAATCATAAGTAACACACAGTCTCAGAAAAGAAGTGTGTATTATTGCACCATTTGTCTCATATAATACACCCCAAAACTTCAGTTCGACGTACAGCGCACTGACGTCGATCTGACGGTACTTACTCTCACGAGAGGTTTGATAGCCGTGTGGTACAACTTATTAAAATAGTTAATGTATGTGTTACTGACTACAAACAAATTTCCGTGGTTTTCTCGTCCCTATTGCAAAACTTCAGTGTTTTCTTTATCTGGTCTTTGATATGTATTTTAGCTATTTAAGAGAGGACACAACCCAGAAAACCAAAAATTCGGCAAAAAAAACACTAATTTTGAACAATTACACATTTACATCCAACAACATCCAGAGAGTATTCCCAGAAAATTTCACTAGTTTACAATCCATAGTAAATTTTTTATAAATTATTTTCTGTCCACCGAAGTTAAAGAAAAGGTAGCGTTTGGAGCACTTTGAACGCATTTTTCTCCGTTCCACTTTTTGGGATAAATTCCATTTTAGTCAACCTATTGTTTGATAATGGCAATACAGGGAAGGCTCGTTCTTCACTTTTTCTGACTGAAATTTAAAATGGAATGAGGCTATGGATTGTTTTTGTCACTTTACGAATGTCTTTTACAAAAAAAAAATGTTGCCATTTTGTCGAAGACACAGAAGACCAAAAAGTTGACCAATTTCGCAGAAGAGAAAATTGATAGAAATATTTGACTTTTTACAAAAAAATTTCCTTGCCCGCACCTCCTAGGCATTCTGCTAGATATCTAGCGAATAAAAATCTTAAATATTGTGATAGTTTTCTGACGATAGGTTAACTAAACAATGTAGGCGTGTTGCTGATAGAAGCTGCCCTAATTTCTTTTTACTTAACCGACAGACCTGACATTTTGTTATGCACCCTCTAGCATGACCACCAGCCTACCCTATAAATTTTATTAATTTTAAACTAAGGGTTTAAAAGTTGACCCTAACAGGGGGTGTGTCCCCTTAATAAGTTATATCGCATTGTTATCAAGCCCCTCGTAAAATTTAGAGCCGTCTGTTCAATTATAGTGTGCTGTACGTCGAATTGAAGTTTTGGGGTGCATCAGGGGAAAAAGGTGTAAGGTGACACCCTTTTTCTTTTTTTTTGTGTGTACCAAGGGTAGCGCAGCGGGTGTATAACGTCAGAATTTCAGACTGCAGGATGTCACTTGCTGCTACCAACGTTCTCCCTTTAAAAGGAAGCTGAAGCGGTCCTATATTTGAGGAAAAACACTTAAATCGTCTTTATTTGGCCTCCAGGATCACCAATATCGATATTATTATTTTTTTTTTTTTTTTCAATTTGGTGCACGGAGGTTGCTGAAAAGGATATTCGATGTTCCGCTAAAACCACTCCTTTCCTGAGCGTGACGTCATACAGAGCTCTCGGAACCTCTGTTCTCGCACATCTTCAACGCCTGTCAAAGCTCTGCACGCGCACTGTTGCTATTTTCAAAAAGATCAAAAGAAGATGCCACGACTGGTGTCAAAGCGAGGGAATGTACCTGGTAAGCTTGCAATCTCACGCGTTGTCCACACGAGTGACACGCGCTTGGCGGCCGAAATATTTGGGTATACACCAACTCATGTTTACAAACAAACCGGAGCGCCCCTAGCGGAAGACACCAGCGCCGCGCATGCGCGAGGGGGGTGTGGGCAAGAAGCTTGCCGTCGCCCATAAACAAACCATTGGAATGCGATGTTGTCGGCGTCCGTGTGAGTCCCTCTGCCCTTTTTCGCGTTCGAATCGTTGATTCTACGTCTTCCTGGTGATGTCTGACTACTTGAGCGACGTCAGCGAAATCACCGAGGTTCGTTTCACCGCAAAACTTTGCGTGAATAATGTGACATGTGGCGATTCATTCCGCGTGGACGCGGCAGTATGTACGCTACAGCTTGATTCGCATGATGAGATTTCGTTCGCAATTTTCAGTCGCGACGCCGCTCGCGGGCTGCAAAAGCGTGAACCGTAGCTGAGATGGTCGACGTTGATACTGAAAATCGCAAGCAAAATCGGACCACGTGAATTAGGCATAACAACTCGGTGATGGTCACTGGTAACAATGATCAACATCTCCTTGTACCTACTGTTTACATCGAGCCTGCTTACCAACCTTCAAACTTTAGTCTTTTGAGGCCTGCACTTACTTTTTATGGCAAGTACCGCGCCAACATTTGGTCTACGGGCCGGCGTCGTCTAAGAAAGCAGACGACAAGCAGAAACGTACGAAAGAGCAGACGACAGTTTGAACGATCCGGCCGCCGTTTGAAATTAAAGACGCACTGAACGTAGTCCGCATGTGGTTCGCACAACTTGACGTTTTTCTGGCGTTCATGTTGGAACAAAACGAATAATTCTGATGACCACAAGTATCCGTGAATTCAATCCAAAGTGCTTCCCGCCCAAGCAATCGTAGTCCGACGGCGTCTGCTTTTCCGGCTTTTCCCTTTTCATGAGACATATCCAGATTCTCGGACGAACCGAGCACGTGAAAACTGACCTTCAAACCTTTCTCCACACTTTTGGTACGGCCCCAGTCGAGGCGTTTTGACGAGAAAGCAGGTTTTTGTCTGGTTCCTTTCAAAACAGCGCAGGAATACACGTCTGGCATGGGGACTTCTGCCCACAGCCCTAGACCGGAAGTGCGACCGACGCGCCACCACCGCGCCGTTACGTAACAGAGATGAGTTCGTGTATTACGTAACAACTAGTAAAAGTCTTTCTTTTTCTCGGGCAGTCATGAACGCTGCAGTGTTTATAAGCAGTTTCGTAACTGAGCTAATCTAGTAACGTCGGCTGCTACCAGCTTCGGAAAATGATACACCGCACTGGTTCAACAACACTAATCATCTATTGACTGTTATCACCGCGCGCCGCGACCCTGAAGCCCGCGGCGCGTACTCTGCGCTTGTTTTTCATCAGTTGCAGAGCGCGGCTCGCGTGGCCAATTTTACTTGGCTTCCTCGCGGCTGATATGACTAGAGACAATTGGGCATGCGGGCAGCCATGGTCAAATGCTGTGGATAACTAGTTTGCTCACAAGACTAGAGTCAATTGGCAGAGTAAAGAGCGCAATAAACCTCCTCCCCTCTCAATTTCTTCTGCTGCAACAAGGGGCTCGATCCTCACAATTCAAGAGCACTAAAAATTCAAGGCCCTAGACGCACCTAACAGTAATGCAGAACCCATAGCAAACTTATTAAAACATGCAAGTTACACACCCTACTCTTGACGAAATTTAAGTTTGTCTTAATCATTCTGATAAGCCCGGAGATCACAAGAGTGTGTCGTGTGTGCAGTGCATCCGAAACCACCCAAGGCTTCTCGCAGCCAAGCAGAGCAAATCGTTAGGCACGTACTATCGGGGAAAAATGAAATACGAACAGATGAGCGAGTGGCTAGCGGTACAGGCTGCGCCGCCTGAAAGTGAGCCTAGGGGCGAGGGTGTGTGGCCTACTCCGATGTGTATACGCCCTTCGCTCGGCGCTTCCCAAGCATCGGCATTGCACTTCGTAGTGCGCTGAAAGCTATAGACGCTTTGCACACGAGCTATATTGCAGCCGCCATTACTGACCTTCTCTGGTCTTACCGAGATACCAAGCCACCGAAGCGCGTTTTGAGGAGAATCCACAAAGGCCATTGCTGGGGAGAAGGACACAGTCAGATCTAAAATGGCAATAACATGGCCTGCTGGGGCAATGATGGAGGGAAGTGATCAAAATAAAAGGAAACAAAAACTGAAGGTCACTTATGGTGGCGCTTATGAACAGCTGCTGAAAAGCGTCTATATCACCGCTATCGTTGCTCGCTCGACTTGTGCCGCGCGACGAAGCTCGCCGCTATAGGGAGTATTCACAGGACGCCATATTTGTGGGTGCTCTTTAAAGCGCATGCTCAGAGCGAGCTCCCATTAATAGGCTGCTAAGACCGCCACTCTTGATGGTGCGGAATGCACGCGGCGAAAGAACTGTGGAAGCTCGGCGTCAGCACGCGCTCAGCAGTGGCGCGCACAGCTATGGCCGCCAGTGAATACTCCCTATGCTGTGTTTCACCTTATGATGTACCGCAGGAAAGGCTACAAGCGCCAGCTCTTTGCTCTATCCTTCGTTTCAGCTTCGGTGCAGACGCAGCCAAAGCTACAAGCGCGAGCTCCGGGCTTTCAGCATCCCTGCCAAGCACGCGCGCTCGTGCAGTGCAAGCACGGTTCTGGGCCACATGCTCGCGCTTGCAGCATCGGCTGCGTCTGGACCGAAGCTGAAACGAAGTATAGGGCACGACTTGGCGGCCCAAGCTTTCGTGCGTTAAGAGTAGCTCCCAACGCTATGAGCTCGCGCTTCTAGCCTTCTCTGCGGTACAACATAAGGTGAAACGGAGTATAGCAGCAGCTAGAGCGCGAGCCCAGTCTTACTACTAGCGGCGAGCTTCCTCGCTCCGCACGCTCCGAGCGAGCAACGATAGTGGTGATAAAGCCCCTTCATCTTTCAAAAGTAGCACAAGGTTCGTCGCCGCAGAAAACACGTGCAACGTGCAGCCCTTGGGAAGATCATGGCAACATAGCGCAGCATTGATCTAGATTTCAGACGCCATGAATTTCCCAGAAGTGGCGCGCGACACGTGCCTCGAGCATTTCTACAACAATGAATAACGCCACTTTTTTTAGGATAGAGGGGCCTTAAGGGGTGATAGCTTTCAGCGCACGAAGAGGCGCAATGCCGAAGCTTGGGAAGCGCCGACCGAAGGGCGTATACACATCGGAGTAGGCCACGCACCACTCCTAGGCTCATTTCCAGGAGGCGCAGCCAGCACCGCGAGCCACGCGCTCCTCTGTTCGTATTTAATTTTTTCCCGATAGTACAAAATACACGCACGACACATTGTGTGCCCTCCAGCTTTATCAGAATGATCAAGGCAAGCTTATTTTACCTAGATTTCTTACCAATAAGTACAAAAGTTACATTGCTATATTCCGTTCACTCTTAAGCTGAAACTAGAAGCTCCGCCTTCAGCGCGAGCTTTCTGCTCTATGCTAACACAAGTGTGAACGCGCAGGCACTCACCAACTAAAACAATGCGAAAGCCAGTGAGCTCTCCTGAAGGTGGAGCTTCTAGTCTTAGCTTAAGGTTGAACGGAAAAGATATATGTTCGTTTGTTTTTTAAATGTTTATTTTTATTTGAAGGTAAACTGTTCTGACCAATTTTGCTAAACATTAATTGTTAGCGGACGACGAAGAGGAGGAAGAAGTGAAAGAGGAAGAAGACAAAGAAGAAGAACAAGAACAAGAACAAGAAGAACAAGAACAAGAAGAACAAGAAGAAAAATAAGAATCCTTAGTATGTGGCTACAGCGCCAGCTTCCTACCTTCGGTGCGCCCAAACGAGCGCGAGCTGGAAGCAAAGCTACCTGCTCCTTAACTGTCTGACTATAGTAGAGTACGCATAAAATACAATAATAAAATAGTTGATGTCATACAAAATTTCTTGTTATCTTTAGTGGATAGTGTCTCAGTTATTTGAAACTCCATCCCCACTTTCGACGAATATGAACGTTCTGGTAAGGTTGCACTAACGAACGGAAAGCAACAAACTTATTGTTCTGTTTTTGTTCTCTCTGTTGCTTTCCGTTTATTCTTGATCCCAACACAAGTGTCGACTATTGCTCATAAATCCGCAACCCTGCCCGTTTCGGCCTTGATGAGCATCGTATCGGCGTGCGGTCGTGTACCACTACTGCGTGATGCACGTTAAAGACCCAAGGCTAGCCGCTGTACTGCACTGGCTAAATTTCTCATCTGCAGCTGAGACACCAGGCGCCCATTGGGGCTAACTTCCGGATGTCTAAACATGCCCACAACATTATTATTATTTTAATACTGTATAAGTACAACGCATTCAACCCATTTATATAACGTGAAATCGGTTACTCAAACTTAAAGCCAGGGTGAAGGAAACGAGGTGTCTGAACGGTGCCACCTCGTCATGCAGAATGCAAAGTTTAAGCAAGTGTGGCGGAGGCTCGCTCAGATTCCTGACAAACACTGTGAGATGGCGTAGCATATCCGAAGGCTGGTGCCATAAGATAGAAAATGGTGTAAGATAATTGGTGTTATTGTTTTTTTTTTCCTTTCACGTTTCTAATTTTTACCCAGGCATGGGATTTCCTCGAGCTCGCTTTCTGCAAAGGAAAAATCCCTCATCATCATTACTATATTCATTATTAACTGCAGCAGAAACAGTAGCAGCAACAGCAGCTGAAGCACCAGCATTATCATCACCATCATCGTCGTCAGCATCATCATCATCATTATCATCATCATCATTTTTAAGTAATGAGGAGCCTGTGAAAGATGGTGGTTGAGTGGCATCGCGTTCAGGAACGAGTGACTGACTTCGGGTCAACGCCCGTATTTGTATCAAGACTATGGGACCATTCGACTTGGCCAGGGGGCGCGCTGGAGCGATACCAGTGGCGCCGCGCCGTGGCGCAAATTTGCCCTAATGCGGCAATCGCTCGTCCCGTAGCGCAACCAGTTACAATGGCGAGCAATTGCGATTGCTGCTTTCTCTTCTTTCAAAACACGGTGAATATATTTTTAGGGAGCGAACCTCTGCAAAGAATACGGCCACCGCTCACCTGTTCCCAGGTATTTTGAACGAGTCGAACAAGATTAAAAGCTTTCACTACACACTGCGATACCTTGTCATGTTTGCTGACATGTACCGCTGCTGTCAAGGCGGTAGAATCGAACTTCCCGCGCCTGCATCAATACCTACTCCTACTTTTATAAGTAAAAAGGGTGATCGCCGATCGCCTCACATTTGCGCCAACACACTAAAAAAAAGAAAGCGCGTGCGTCTACTTTCCTGCACAACACTTGGAGAGCCAATCACCGCAACTTCCGGAGGCAGCCCAGCGAATGATGATGCCGAAACACATGTTTAGACCAAAAAACGCAGCCTGGGATGTGGCATTAAGCAATGCAAAACGTCACGCTTGCATTGCATATTGTCACAACTAAGACTCCGTGATCTTTTTTTTTTTTTTTTTTTTTTTTTTTTTTTTTTTTTTTTTAACAGATTTTTTGACATCGCCATTCGCTGTGCTGCCTCCATAAGTCGCGGTTCTTGGCTCTCCGAGTGTTGTGCGGAAAAGTAGACGCACGGGCTTTTCTGTAGAGTGAAGACTGTTTTCTTTTTTAACATTCTTTTTTTTTTATGCGACACCAGAAATATAAGTTCAAAAACAGTTTATTATTTTTTTTATTTTTATTTATTTATTCAATACTGTACACTTACTGAGGTTTTAGCAGGAAGGACACTGTGGTACAACAAAATACACCAATCTTCACGAAAAAGTACATGACAGTATAAAGACACGCTGCAAACTATGTCCCGATTACCAAGCTGTTTCGCAAAAGTCATTGCGATACACTTACAGAAAACATTTCAAAACGCCATTCAGTAGTTGAAAAATATACAATTTTATCACACTAACAAACGAGAAAATAAACAGGTATAAAAGCAATATTCATCCGTGCGCTTAGTGACATGATCGCCTATCAATGGCCAGAAAGACGAAAGGAAGAAAGTAAGAATTCGATCGTCACCAATACATAACACTTCGAAAACCTTATTTGCTTTACTGTCAGCTCGGGGAGATAAATGTCATACTTATCTTTCATTCTTAGGCTGCTTTATCAAGTTGTGATAGGAAGGTCGCCAGAGAATCACTGCCTACAACTTCTGGGCCGAGGCAGTTCCATTCACGAATAGACCTATTGCTCTGTTACCCAAGCATCAAGGAAAATGCAGGAATTGGTCATAGAGTTATTACAATAAACGCTAGAGACTCAGCTGGCGCTAGTGTGCTGTTTCATTTTGAAGCAGACAGCAAGCAGTCAGAAATTGACTTCCGGTATGGGAAAAAGCGAGTGCATTTTCTCTCTGCGCTAGGTTATAAGAGCAAATATCACGAATAATGTGTACGTACCAGGCACATTGGAACATTTCTCAGTCACGCAGACGAATTAATTGGTCAGTGACAGCATTTTTATTTGAAATTGGTGGCATGAAAAACGGTGTTAAAACCGCTTCGTACGTGTATTTATGTGCACTGTCGGACACTGTTGACGCGAACACGGCGTCGACGCTTTCCAGCATGGGGGATATAGTGCCAAACGAACAAGGGAGATGTGGAAAATCAAGGAAGACGGCAAGAACTACGCAGTAACACTGGATAAGTAACTCCTTGTGCACGCAGATGATCAAAATAAATTGAAAGCCACGTAATATAATCAGATTTGCAATAAATAAGCACTGCTTTGTCGTTTCTGCTCATGAATATGTGCGAAGATGCATTTTCTGGGTTCAACTTATCACCCGCACGCTCCAAATCTTTGCAAATAGGGGGAGCCAGAGAGCAGGTGCCTGATAAAAACTGCCCGACATAAGAAATAATAAAAAAAAAAACACCTTTCGTAGCTCACGTGCTTTATTTTTTGCGTTCGAATGTTTCCTTAACCGATCGTAAAAATGCACGACGGAGTCATTTTTATCCACTGACAGGACGGGCATATTAGCAATATACAAGCACCACCGAAATGCTAGCAAAACTTGAACACACTCTACATTCCTTTCGATTGTTAGTTTGCTTAGAATCGTCGCTCATGTTCACATACCTTCCTTGAAACAGAGGCTTGGGCCTGAGATAGAGCGAAGTTTACCATCGTTCAGTGGTAAAGAAAAATGCTGCAACTAAAGCAATTACACTTTCACAATACCAATAAAGGTACATACTATCCGGTACAATCGAAACGACAAAAGTTATTTATGTCATTTTCCTGCAAAGAGACAAAATTTATGCGCGTTTTCCCATAGGAATACACAAGGAGGATGGAAATGTAGACTGCATGCTGTCTGCTTCAATTTGCAACCGGAAGTCCCATAGACACTAGCGCCAGCTGAGCCGCTAGCGTTTATTGTAATAACTCTACGGGATTGGTCATGGCCTCCGAGATCCCGAAGCGCGCGAACGCTTCTCCGGCCGTCCCATTCGTGCGGAGAGGGCGTAATCGAAAAAAGAGAAGGAGGCGCCGTCTCTCCGCGGGGAGGCGCTCCCAACCCAGTCACCGACAGCATGGCGCGAGGCAGAAGAGTTCAAGAAAAACTCGTGTTACGTCGAGTTACTGCAACTTATACTTACAAATTTTTGTGTATTGTGGTAGAACGGTGAATAGCTGCTTTGTGGACGTAGATAGAAAATTTGTGATGCTTATTTAAATATTTAATTTGAGATATTCATCTGGACATGTTGCGGCTAGCGCTGCAAGCGCGCCTTTTGATATATATTTGGTTGCAGTCTGTAGCTCGTATAAAACAAAAAAAAAGCTCCGTATATAAAAAATATATTAGTATTTCCCTAAATAAAAAAAATCATGCTGCAATATTTTTTTTTTTTTTAATCTTCGCACGTTGTTTGGCGTACGTAGCTTTTAGAGCCTCACGAGGTTTGATATTATATAATGAAATCCGTGTTGTCCTTCGTTTAATATTTTTAATATTTATTACGCAATTTTTGCAGGTCGTCTTGCGGTGTTTGCTTCTACTAGAAGTACCTTAAAGCCTTTGGCAGCGTGACCCCGGCTTTGGGGAAAAACCTTTGGTGGTGAAGTACAACCACCTTGCAGTGATTTCGCCATTTTTTTTTTATAAACTTCGTGATGATTGTTGGTACTCATTGAAAAGGTAGGGCGTTATCTTGTAAATTTCCAGTTTCTGGCACATGTAGCCCAGACCACCGTATCCCGTAATGCACTTTGTGGTGTAACTTAATTGATATGCAAGGAAACAATGTAATCTCAAGAGAACTCTGGTTTATCCGCTATCCATTTCCGACAGCCGGAGCAGCCCGACCCGAAGCTAATTTTCACGGCCCAGCTACGCTTTATTTTAATCCAGTATGAATAGCTCACAAATTGCGCGGCATGGCAGCTCGCTTGGAACTGCTACACATAAGTTGATCACGATACCCAATAGTAAATACTGTAAGTTTTTTTTTTTTTGGTATGATTAGTTAGACCAATTTGCAGGCCTAGGCAGCTTGTTAAGGAAAATCACTCGATATTTCTGTTCTGCGACCAAACATGCGGGGAAAGGACGGAAAAACAAAAATGAAGAGCAGAACTAAACAAATCCACGTGTCACAGTTGGAAAGGAAGGGACATATCGCGACGGGTTTGTAAAAAAGACGGGCAAAGTTCTAAATTAGCTACCTTCGCTGCGCACAACCGCAAAAAAAAAAAAAAAAAAACAGCAATGTTATTTTTTTGCGGTGGTCTGCGAGAAATTGTTCAGAAAAAGTATCCCTCCGGGGAACCTCTTCAAGCACTCTTGCCTACAGATGGTTTACGCCGGCGAAAGTACGCACCGTATAGACACGTGTATGTGCGTGTTTGTGGTGAGAAGCGATTGTATGATGGCGGCGGCGCCGCCGGGGACGATAAGGAACGCCGCGCCCTCTGGAAGAGCATTCGCTGCACACACCGAACCATACAAAAACATATACCCACACATCTGTATCTGTTTATTCCTCACTGTAGTTCCTCTCCTAACCCCGGAACACAATTCCAAAAAAACAAGCCGCTAAAAAAAAAAAAGAAAAAAAAAGGTAATGGCCGGTTTGGCTTGCTTTGGCGCCCCCTTGTAGACGTGAATGCAAGGCCCGTACCCGGCCCGGGCCCTTCATGAATGTTGACCTGAAGCCCGAGCTCGGCCCGAGGGCCGGGCCGGCCCTTGGCCCGCGTTCTGGCCCGTACCTGTGCAGATCTCTGCCTGCGACGCTGACGGCTCGCCCTCTGTTATGACTGGGCAGACAGCGCCGCCTCGCGGCGAGCGACGGAGTTAGCGCAATTACACTCTTCTGCTGGGGAGCGACTCGAATGGGACGGCCGAGAAGCTTTCGCGCGCGCGCTTCGGGATCTCAGATTGCTGTTTCACGCGCCACGCGCGCACGCCTTCCCCGTATCAAAGATTCGAAGTAAATAACCAAAATAAAGCGTTGACGAACGCGCGTGCAAGATACTATTTCTTTCAGGTTTTTGCTTTAGAACATTTACTACTGCTGAGGCCAGCACGTGCGGCGCGTGGGACACCGATTCCTGAATTCTCCTTGATGCTTGGGTAATGTAGCAATAGTACACTGTAGCAATAGGTCTATTGTCCT